TCTCTCCTAGAGGGAAGAGCACGTGCAGGAATATATTTAGCTCTTACACTCAAACCCTCATAAGTGAACACTTGTTTTCTATGTATGCAATAGAAATAGAAACATGCAAGTACACACAGGAGCACAGACTGTGCACAAACATCATCACCTGAACACACAGGCCCTGGACCACCTGGAAGAGCCTGAGTTTTCCACACACATTTTTCCTACAGAGCAAGGAAAATCCGAGAAGTTTAGCAAAGCCAGACTGGGTCTGGGCTCTGCAGAGCCCTCCCTCTGGGGATTTCAGAGGCACAATGTCTGCACAATTTCAGGGGCTAATATGTCAAAGCTTAAAGTAGCCTGAAGAATTTAATGGGGATTTAGATGCTTGCAACTGAAATGTAGTATTTTTGAGAAAGTTGCCCGAGATGAATGGCATCTGCCCAGGAGTCATGAGACATCCTGGCAGTGTCACACCCTCCCAGCACACACAAATCGAGGTGCAATGCCTGCATCCTTTTCTTCTCAGAAGCAAGGCTGACAGTTGTCATAAGCTGAAGCTGCTCCAAACCAAAATGAAACACTGCTTATAAACAGTAGTGGTGTTTACATACAGAAACTAAACAAATTTGGGCAGAATAGTCTGACTGAATATGAGCAAACAAGGAACTCATAAGGGATATTCCTTCCTTATTAATATCCTCCCCCTGCCTGGTACTACTCAGGTTTTTTGTTTGCATTTCCCACATCTCTTATCTGTGCTTTCAGACACAGAAAACCACACAGCATGCCATAGCTTGAATGTTTGCATTCATCAAAGTGAAAATGCCTATTAATAAGAATTCAATTATTTGGAAAAAAGTTCCTGCCAGTATAGCACCACCTTTCTAAGTTCTTTTCCAATGGGAATTCTTCTTTCTGCAAACCTCTTTTGACTCAAAAAAAAAAGGAAAACAAATTACAAATAGATGGTCTGCTGTGACTCCAAAGGGAAGGGCTGCAAAGAAATGAGCATGAAAAGCAGAACCTGCCACAAGCATCTGTGGAACAGCAGGAAGTTATGGCCAGCTTGTGACAGTAGCACTAAGACTGCACATGGGAATACTATTAAATTAACAGCACATTGAGATTAATTGCCTTTTTTTTTCCTGGGGATTTAATTTTTTTTTCAGTTGCCCAACAGGTATCTTGTAATGCAGTGGGTTTGATTTGGTGGGGAGGTTTTTTGGTTTTGCAGCTCTTTCTGAGCTGTGTTTCCAAGTCCTGTGTTATTAATTTATCACCCAGGAACAGAAAAGCAGCTCCAGTGCTCTGACCCAACCACACCCAAATCCTCAGGGAAGTCAGATGTCTCTTCAGAAGTCATGGGCAGTGAGATAACAACATCACACACACGCTTTGAATTTTAATTATCACTATTAAGGATTAGGAACAATCCCTGTGAGCAACAATTTTGCTGGCATTACTAAGCCAGACTCAAGCCTGCTTTTAGTTAACTGTAATGCAATATTCATGCCTCAAACCTGATTTTAGCGAGTTCCCTTCCCTTCTGGAGCAAGTACATCACTGGAGGCTCCAAGTCCCCTCTTTGGCATCCCCACCCTCGCTTAATTCTTGACCACAGGGGAATTTTAACAGTGAATAAACTAATCCCTCCCTTGCTACTGCCAACATAAGAGAGTACTATTATTCCAGTTCAGAAGAGATCAGCTTTTCTCCTGTTAAGTTTTTCCTTCCTAAGAGAAAGCTGGAAATATGGGGAAATTGACAGCCCCTCCAAAGCTGCTTTAGTGTCTGAAAAGGTCACCTACATACAAAGAATCTTCTTGGAAATATCCTGGTGTCTACAACTGTGTTTTTCTGGTATCATTACTAATCTCCTCCATTCCATAACCGAGATTGTTTCTCCTGACATTATTTCTACAGAGTCCATGCTGGGGCGTGACTATAAAGGACAGGCTGCAAATCTGGCACTGAGGAGAAAGAATAGGAATTGCAAAAAGACCAGCTCTCATTTTAACCTTTGGAAAAATCTAGTTTTTCTAACTTTTAGCATAGGGATATAATCTGGCTGGTGCTTTGTGCCTACCCTTAAGTGAGAGTTTTAAGTGACAGCTATATGTAATCAAAGAGAGGGCTGGTTTGGTGAATAATTTGCAAAGAATCTCTGCATGTGCCAGCCCTGCAGGGCAATGCCGTTGCCTTAAATGGATTAATGTGGGATTAACATGACCAACAGCTGCCACACAGGATGCCTGAACACAGGAAGGCACAACACCAAAGCTTCCTCCAAGAAAATGAAAACATCTCCCTCTCTCTTCTCCCAGCAAAACCAAGCAACTAAATGAAAGGAACCACCCAGATGGCACAAAGGCCAACAAAGGAGCTTGACCATTCACCAGAGCTGTCACTTCTCTCTCAATCAGGTCATGTGCTACCAACGATAGCAGCACACATCCTGCTTGCACTCCCCAAGATTTCCCTTCTCCAAATCCTTTCCCTCTTCCGTGGGAAGAGCCTCAGACCCACCCTTGGTCTGACACCTCCCATCAGACCAAAGCTGCAATCTCGTCTCACTGTTGTGAGGTCTTAACTCCTGCACTGGTCAAGATACTCCGAGGAACCCACCAGGTGCCCTCCCTGGCTGCCCCAGCCCTGCTCCACTCACCTGTGCCAGCCCACGGCCAGCGAGGGCCTTGGGCTCTCACAAAAGCAGCCCTTGGACAGGAAGCACCTGGGTGCTGCCCTTTTATAGGGCAGGTGGCAGCAGGGCTGTTGCTGCTCTAAGTGAAAACACAGCATTAACCAGCATCCTGGCTCCTGGGGGGAAAAGTGTTTTATTAATCAGAAAAATGCTTTCCACCCCGTGGTGTCTTGCAGACCTTTCAACTCGCATCTGCACAAATGGGAGAAATTCTTCTGTCATTCTCACAACAGTTAAAACATACAAACCATTTTTAGACTTCAGGATTATTTTTGTTTAAATAAGTGAGAGAAGTTTAACCTGATTAGAATTACCCTCTCAGCTCAGCACAGGGTGCTATGAGCAAGGTAGAATTTCCAGAGAATTTCCATCCATGAGAGTGGGAAGCTGAGATTGCTTGACCAAAAGGCATGGTCATACACCACCTGATTTTCCTCATTCTATTCCAGACTACTGAAAGAGAGAAAGAGAGGGATGAAGATCAGGCATGCTGGGCACCCCATAATCCTGATTACCCAAAAACTGCTGTCATGACTGAGCAATGACTGGTAGGAGGCTGGGAGGATGATGTGAAGATAATGAAGTGCAAGTCTTTGGGTGTGAGGAGCCAGAGCCAAAGGGTACAGAGCATTATTTCACCCACAGCATTCATCATGCATTTCTGCTTCTACTGTTTATACAATTAATTTCATCTGAGAAGAAAATATTTTCGTGGATGGGGTGTTCTTGCTATAATTCATGACACTACGTATAAAAACAAAACATTTTTCTCCACAGGAAGAGAAAAAAAAAAAAAAGAAAGGGACAAAAATTCCCCAAAGACCCCAAGTTTTTAAGGGTGAAGTGGAAGTGTTGATATCCAGTTTTGGCACAGCTCGAGGAAGGAAAAAATCCCTGTTAAGAACACTGTGGTTGATTTTAACTAAAATAACTCACGCCCTCAGAGTTGTCTGGGTCACTGCAGAAAGCGTTTCCTTTGGGGGTGTTTTAGCCTGACATTGCTAATTCAGACAGATGACAGCACCTGCATTGGGGGGAACATAGATCATTCCAAGAAAATCGAGCGGAAAAGCGACTTCACGGCATTTTATGTGCATTTTACAAGATACAAACTCTCCATCGGAACACCCCACGCTCGGCGTGATCAGGATTGGCGTGAGCCCAAGTTTACAGTCTTGTGCCCAATCCTGTGACTATAAAGATAGCCCTGCAAACACCATTTTCTCCCGGTGAATAACTCGCGTTCAATCGTCCTTTTGGGCCGGTTAATGCCGTCAGATAATGAGTTGAGCGGCACAAATGGGCGGCGCAAACCTCCGCGGCTGTTTGGGGACAGCGGTGGCGGTGAATGGAGCGGGGTGGCCGCTCCCACAGCGAGCGCACAGAGCGCGTCTGTCGGCGGCGCCTCGGAGCGCGGGGTGCTCTGCCCGCAGCGCTCGTCACCTGCTGGGAGCTGCCATTGAGCGAGGTTACATTCTAATTGGATTTTCCGAAGGCAGAGCATTAGCATTTTCCATGATCTCACCCTTATTAGCCAAATCGCTGATCAGGAGGAGCGCGGGGATATTGTGTGCTGGTTACATTATCGGTGTTTGCAGTGTTTGCAAGCCAGCTCCAAATTCATGCAGAGATAAAAACTCCCCTCTCTCCAGCACAGACTCGGGAGTCTATTGTGGAGCTAAGGTTGCAGTCAAACTCCGATTTTCAATAGTTCACCAAAAAAACAACTTCTCTCCAGAGGCTGCCTCCTCGCTCAGTGCTTTGCTCCTGCTCTTCCCGAGTCCGTGCTGTAAGTCAGCAATGTCAGTTCTTTCATCCTTGTTGGCAAAAGCAGCATTGCTCTACAATAAAAAAGCAGAAGAATCCTTTCCCATGGACTGTCCCCCCCTTGAGTCCAGAATCAAATGCAGGACATGTTTAATCCTGTAAGGTTATTATTCCTATTCACAGGCCTCGGTGTATTGAAAGGAATGGAAATACCTGTTCTATAAGCAGAAATAACACATGCAGGCAGTCCTGTAGCTGATGAGTCTGTCTTTGCACAGCTCAAAAAACTGTTTTTATCACAACTTAAATCCACATGAAGTACTCCTGAGCTACCAGGAAAGCAGGCAGGACATCTCACGCCCTGCAAAATTCTGTTTCTTCTTTCAGGTGGGGTCCCAGCAGGTTTGGATACCTGTTTCTCAAGAGAAGCCTTCTTAAAAGCCTGAAGGGAAGAGACCATCTTGCACATAGATTATCAAGTAATGCTTGCTGGACACTCATCCACCAAAATTTTCTGAAAAAATTAATCATCTAAATACAATTTTACTCAAAAAGCCAGGTTTTATTCTGGATTAGAGATTACATGATGATGTTCAGGTTCGTTACAAGAATAATTTGGAAATATAAAGCCATATTCACTAAGAAGTTAAATCCATTCTGTACTTCTAACAAAATTCTTGCAATACAAATAAGTACACTCAGAAAAAAAAAACCCTGTGATTGTTTTTTATATGTAATTCTAGAGCCAAAACCAAAGGAGATCTGACCCAGACTCAAAAAGGGCAAGTGGGCACCTTTTACCTGGCCTGGCATTGGTGGTACCCTGGTTACAATTACACAAAGGGGTTTAAACAGTGAAACAGATTTCCCTTTTACCAACCAAGAAAAGTCAGAATTCAAAGTAATATATCAACAAATCATTCCCTGGAATCAAATAAAACCCCTCATAATTCCCAAACAACAACAACAACCAAAAAAATCACACCACTATTTGGCTTGTAAGCTCTTGAATTCAAACCAGATGTGACAGTCTGAATCCCCAGCAAGAAATGCATCTCTTCTCATCAGGCTTTTAAAGAGATTCTCACAAGGCAGCACAAACAGCATCTTCAGAACAAAGGGCAGAAAGGCTTCCCAGCAGAGTTTAACTGGATCCTGAGGATCACCAGCCTGTATGAGCTGCTTTTCTATTGTCCTTGCAGGGATTTCACCAGACATAAATCATATGCACTGAAGAGATAAGGGGCAAGAAAACCCAGAAGAAAACAGAATAATGAAGTTGCAAGAATCCCTTGCAGCCTTTGGTTTACACTTCTCCAGGCCAGAGGCTGTCAGCGATGGGCTCCCTTCTCCTGGGAGGAATCTGCAAAAGCAAAATCAATGGCAATTATTGTGACATTGAGAAACACAACTCACTTAGGAGTAATTTTCCTCTATTTTGTAACACTTTCACCCCCCACCCCCCCCCAAGGCTTGTGCTTCATGACAAGACTGTAATCAAACCAGCACCAGTGCCAGTAGGAGTGAAGAAGCAAAAGAGAGTGGGGATATCACAGAGTGCTCCAGGAGTCTCTGTCTCAACTTTCCTCTAATCCTGATGGTTGATACAGGGCAAACAGTAGGGTCTGATGGCTTTAAGTCCCCTCTGTAAAATCTTTCCAGACTTCTGCAAAGATCAGCTGACATTCAGCAGTGCTCAGAGGTGTACATTGGCATTAGGTGCAGCTAAATGTGACAGAGGGAATAATTAGGTGGTAGTACCCATGGCTAGGCAGGTGTCTGTGGTCCAAAAATGTGTCTGATAGTAAGTGACTCAAGCTAGGAAAATAAAACAAAATTGAAGAAAGGAAATATGCTATTGCTGGTGCAACACATGCTTCCTGAAGCTTCAAAAGGTTTTGGAAATGCTCTAACACATCTCTAGTAGCACAAGTGCACTCAGTATTTCAAGAGAAACACTAGGAATTATGAATCCTGATCTGCTGGCTCGTTGAAATAAAATGATCAAATCTTGCAGCTGTTTAAATCACATATCCTGTTCCTCTTCCCATGAGACTTTTCTGCCTGGTATTCTGAAGAACTACAACACATTCTGTGATCTTCAGCTCAATCTGACTTTTCAAAGCACTTTAACTTCACACGTTCTGGAGTTAGGAATCAGGAGTGTGCTAATGGCCTTTTTACAGTAGCAGAAATTGAGTTGTATCAGTAAAAATGCTGAAAATAATCACATTTTCATTCCCAGTGGGGATGGCAAGCTGCTAATTAAATCTGTCTTTACTTGGAAGCACTGATAATTTCTCATGTAATGTATGCACTGAGGACAGGCTAATACCAAAAATGTTAAGGGTCCGGGGTTTTTTCCAGGAAAATTAAGATGTCAATTAATTGACTTTTTTTTTTTTTTCTGTCTGGTTTTTACCAAACACCTCCACAAATCCATTTTTCAATTTTTCATATTTCTCCCCTCTCCTTACAGATGTCATTATTTTCAGTGGCAAACCCCACGCTTCTCCCTCCTCTTCTTCCAATTAGCTGTAATTATAACAACATTAGCAGCAAATTAGATGCCTCGAGGGCAAAAATCTGGGAAGCAGCAGAGTGTGTGTGGAAAGGAAGAGGAGATGAGATTATAATGGAAATAAAGGGGCACATCCATGTGCTCATCTGGGCACCCTTAGGGCTTTGCAGGTTGAGCTCTGCTGTGCCAAGATGAGCAGGTGATCAGCTGCTCCCACAAACCTCCAGAGCTACCCCTGGAGAGGGAAGCAAAAGGCTCCATTTGGGCTTCTCCCTGTGCCTGGCATCACTGGATCCAACATAAAACCATCCAGCACAGGCTGGAGAAACCCACTGGGTGTATCTGATGTTCTGAACTGGGCTCCTTAAATGCATCTACTGGGAATCTTTCTGCCAAGGAAAGAAATGCAGCAGGATGAATTGTGGAAGTGAAAAAGGCAAGATGTGCCAGCAGTTGCAGCATGTAAAAGGGTTCTTGCTCTGAGTAGGCTTTTGAGTAATAAACCTTTTTTCCAGAGAATTTTGCATTAAAAATCTGGGTCCAGGGAAAATCTCCAAGATCAAGCTCTTTTTTACAACTGTCTTTTCCATTTTGCACAGTTGGATAAGGAAGTCAGTCAATATTTCTTGCCAAATAAAGTGACATTAAGTACATTTGCTGGAAATCTTTCTGCCTTGGTTCTTAAAATAAATAAAAAAACCTCCAAACACAAATCAACCACAAAAACCAAACAGAGTCACACAACCAAGAACAAAAAGGTCAGGAACTGCAATCAGGAGTGTGACAGAGATTTAAGAGCTCCAGTTCCTCCTAAGGCAGCACTGCTGGTCCAACAAGGCAAGGCTGGGAGAATTTAGCACAATTTAGGACTAAGACTTCCTGCACAGCAAAGTACCTGGGGAGGGACCAGTCCAGGGGTGGGAAAGAAGAGTTATTCTCTTGGAAATACACTGCCAGTAGAGTAAGGAAATATCTTCTTTAATCTCTGTCTTGTATTACCTACATTTCCACTTTGCTTCTCCTTCTTTATTGTGACCTTAAAGGAAACATCTTTAGTTTTTAGGAAGACAAGCTGAACTCAGCTATGAGTTATCTCAGGTTTTAAGCAGTTTTTTGAGGGTTGGGGTTTTTATTTCCTCTCATTTTGCCCACTCTATTCCCCTCATCCTTTCCTGTTTTCTGATTAATTTATTCCCAGTTTATTAAAAAGGGCTCAAGTCCAAAAGTGCCAGAACCAAACCATTACACCAACCAAACCATGAGAGCTGAGTGCTGGACACAACATTGCATAAGTGATCCTCTGCCAACTACCAAACCACACCTCTGGGGAAAATAACAGTTTGGAAAGCCAACTTCAGAAAATAGCATCAAATAGTGTTCATCATATTTCTGTAGGAAAGGCTTGGGGTGGTTTTTTTAAGAAATTCTTCAGAGATAATCCTATATTCATAGATTCTGGCAAAAAAAAAAATAATCTTTCTTAAACAAAATAGAAAAATAAAATGGGCTCAACAAAGGCAGCAGTCCTTTGAGACAGCCTCCTCTTACCATGGCAGCTGCTATGGAAAGTGGTGCCAGTCAGAATAGTACAGATATGGTTACAGGAGAAGCAGAAAACATGAGATTACAGCTGGTTACAGAAGGACCTGCAGAACCCAAGTCAAATGCCAAAGGTCCTGGGTGCAATCACCTTCCTCCCTCACAGGAGAGGGAGGAAAATGCAATGATGCTGTATCTATTCAAAACTACAGAAAAACAACCTAAGTCCTGCTGAGTCACATACACCTTTCAAGTCCCAACCACATGATGAGACTCTCAGAGATTTCAGGTATCTCTAACACAGGCTTTTAAAATGGAATATTATCAAAAATATCCCCATTTCACTTGTGTTCAGCTCTGAAGTTACAGCCTGTGACCTGTGCTTCATAGTTATTACTTAAGAAAAAAAGCCCAGCATCAAAGGAAAATTTGTTAAGAGAAATGTAAAGGTTTTCCCTAGAAACATCAATCTAGTGAAACAGCATTCCTAAAGGAAACTGTTTCATGCCTAGAAGTTGCTGCACTGCTGATTTGCTTCCTATAATGAAGACCTAGCTCAGCAGAGAGAAGATTTATTGGTCCATTTATAATCGAGTGAGAAAATGAAGGATGAGAACTGAGAATCAGGAATGCTGCTGCACATAGTGGCTCATTTAGACCAACCAGATTAATTAGCACTTGTGCAAAATGGAGCAAAGAAATGGGAACATCAAGAACTCTTGCTCATCACATATTCTTGGAGCTTCTATCTTGAAAACCTTTCTCAAAATACTTACAGGCAGATTTAATATAGACAACTATACATAAAGCCAGGCTAATGACTCAATATTTTGGGAGTAGAAGTTTGAACTCTGCATGATCAATGGATAAATGATCAAAATCATCTCTTTTAGGAGCCAGGATAAAAAGAATAAGAGCCCAGAAGGTGTTAAAGCAGACATCCTACACAGAACTATGATGGCACTATTAAGAAATTCTCTTTAAAGTGACTGGAGCAAAAAGGAAAAGGAAAAGTCTCCAAGTATCCTAATCCCTGTCCTGTTGAGGAGGTGGTGTTTGGATGTTCTGGGCAAGGAACATTAATAGAGAAACAGAGCACAGATTTCCAAGAAGGTTTTTTCAGGGAGTGAGAAGTCAAGTCACACAGTCAAGCAGGGTAGAAGAAGAATTCTCTTTCTTCAGACCCTCCAAGTGCACTGCCCTGGACCACAGCTGCACTTGGTGGCTGGACTGGGTTCACTCCCTGTTAGAAACATCCTCCCTGTATCTTCTCTGCAGTAAATCACTTGGAGTTTGAGTGGGAGGAATGGCAAAATTTATCTCCTGCTCTGTTGTGCAGGCACAGCACTACTTTCCCCATGACCACATCAGAACCCTCCAAAGAGCTGCCATGTCATTATGGGATGCCCATCAGCCATTTTGGTGAGCTACACTCCCACCCTACCATCTCTTCTGGATGACAGCAAATAATGGAACAGTTCCTCTGTAGCCATCATCATCTTCCAGATGTAACAAACCAGCTTCTGGACTCAGCACACCCTGCCACCCCACATGGGACCCACTGGCATTATGGGATGGCAGATTCCCACCCAGAAGAGATTCCTTGTGGTGTCCATCTTTTGAGTGGTCTGAAACAAGGGCTTCAAAGCACTCGAGAGTGACTTCAAATCCAGACACAAATATTAATTACTCCTCCCCATTTCCAAAAAATAGTTTGTACTGAGCTTTGGCAAGTGTTGAACTCTGTTCACTTGCATGGCTCTGCTTTCAGACCTGGCACCTGAACTTCCAGAACAGATCAGTAATAGCAATGGGTATTTTGCCTTTAAGGTGAAACAACATCCTAAAGCCTGCACTTTGTTACCAAGGACTCCTAAACCTGCCCCATGCTGGTCCCCAGTTTTGGCACGTCATTAAATTCGGTTTTTGCTGGAGAAACAGAAGCTCTAAGGAGAATTCTGAGGGTATCTTTTCTTTAGATCTATTACTAGGTGTTTAATGAGGCAAATGTGTGATCCTGTAACGTGTAATAGAGACATTTTATGAATTGCAACAAAGCTATAACAGAGATGCTATTACATCAGAAACCTCACCTGTGTTGCACACCCACCAACCTTTACTCTCCAAGGCAAAGCTGTCACATAAGCACTCAGCAGATAGACAGGAAAGTTTATTCTACATCCCTCAAAGGCCTCCATTTGAAAAAAAAAAAAAGTACATTTAATACATGCTCTGTACAGCTGTTGTCTTACCATTTGCCTTGTGCTGCACATCTGGCGGAAGCTGGTCAGGAACATACCACTGATAGTCTGGCTGCACAGAACAATAAAACATTATTGCAGCAATATGGACTTCACAGGCACTTCAAACAAAAGAACAGTGACATGATAAAAACATAATTGTGCTGTGAAGCTTCTCATTAGCCTCACAAAAGGAGTTTAGAAAATAATCTTGTATTTAGGTTTGTTTCCATCAATCCCAGTCTTCTAGCTTTCTTCCTTTCCTGTGGCTTTAGAAAAACTGGTGTAAACCTTTCTAGATCCTACAAATCACAACGAAGCATTAAGAGAACCAAACCAGATTTTAAAGTGCAGCAGAAGATACCAGCAGGCATCTCCCTCTGCCAAAGACCCCCAGAGAAACCTGGCCCACCTGACAGGTGAAGCTGCTCCAGTTTGAATGCATCTGTAACAGCTGTAAAATGCTCCAGTGTGACAGGAATGAACCATAAAATAAAGTTCTCTCCCCTCCTCCCTTTCCTCACAGGTTAGCACTGCTGTTACTATAACATCAGCTATTATCAAATAACTTCCTGAAAATACTGTGGGATAGGGAAAATTCCCATCTTTCTCATAAGAGGAAATACTGGGAAGGTTATGTCCATGCAGACATAGTTCTGTCCAGGGAAATCTTGGAAGAAATAGTGCATTATAATTTATACCACCCACTGTGGTAAATGAGTAGCAAATTACCACTAGAGAAAACAACTTTGGGCCCAGCCATTGCAGCTGAAGCTGTGCTAGGCTGTCTGTCTGGAATAAGTAGTCCATGTAAGCTTGTCAAATTCTAGGTAATTGCTGCTTCAAATTAGTTACACTGGAAAAATGATTCTTGTTTTGCAGAAATTACTCTGACAAAATCATTGAGTAATCCCAAGGAGAATCTTGCAGATTTCAATTTGCAGGGAAAAAAATTCATAGACCCCCTACAGAAGTTTTGTCTGAATTAAGATGGCAGGATGAAGCTATAGATAGAGAAAACAGATTTTACTTTCATGTTTTGCTGTCATTCATGCTTATACAGCAGTAATCACTCTCATACACCGTCAGGAAAAAAAAAAGAGCTCTTGTATTTTAACTTCAATTGTACCAGTCACAGGAATTATTAATTAATTCTGTGCTTCTGGGCAAACAAATTAGACTTTGACACAAAGCTCTAAGCACAGGTAGTTTTTCACCAGTGGCTCAAATTACACTAATTTGCATTGATTTTTTTGAGTTTCTGGTGAATTTTATGTTCTCTGATCAATTCTTCTCTTTTTATGAACCTATCCCTCACAAACTTGAATGAATTTCAGGAACAAGATATTTATTTCACACCAGACTAACCAAAATGTTTCTACTGGAGTGTAAAAAGGAAAGAAAAAGTGCAAGAACAGAAAAAGAACGAAAAAGCAAAAGCACAGCCTAAACATGCAGGATTACTTATCAGGACACCCATTAAATTCTAACACCTTTCTTCATTGCTAACAAATTGCTCGGGGAGGTACCCAAAGCTCAGAGCAGCACAGGCAAAGAACTGGGGAAAAAAAAGGTCAGAATGAAACTGGGAGTTACAAAGCAACCAGTCAGACTGACACCGGTGCTCAGGCAGGAATGACAAAGTTGTAAACCCAGTGATCCCTCACAGAATTAGAAACCCAGATGATGAAAGTTCAGGGAGAAGAGCCAAAATAATCTGGGCCAGTGTCCAAATTGCAGGGAAAAACATTCTGCAATACTTCCAACTTTGATAAATAGGCAGATAAGCACACTCCTGAAGCACAGAAATTACTTGTCTGACCACAGCTTTTCCCTTGGATTTCTACAGCCTGAAAGCCTTACATGCATTTTGCAAAAATTCAGCTATAATTTCTCAAATAATGAGCATCTTTCCATATGTGACAGCTTTATAGTCAGAAACAGATATTGTGTATTTAAAATGACATTCACCATGTTTAAATGCATTCCCACTAGATTGGAACAAGCCAGCTCACTTAGATAACCCAAAGCACTTCAAAAATATTCTTTGAAGCACTATTTTCCTTGGAATAAAGAACTCCCACTCACAGAACCTGCTTCAGTGCAAAGCTATTCTTTATGCTGAGGGAGACCCTGTTGTGTTCCAGGAAAAAAAGCACATTTCCCATTGTTTTAGCCACACTCAGACAGAACTTCCACTTCTGCTGATTTGGTTTTTATTATCTTAGGTTGAAGGCTCAGAGCAGATCCTTACTTCTGAAGTGAGGTAATTATACAGCTAGAAAGGGCTCTGAATGTGTGTCATGGAAATAAATTAATCTGAGAAATCAGCAAGATTCCACTCAACCAACCTTATTTTTTAAATTAACAAACAAATGTAAAAGAATCCTGTTTTTCTTCTTAGTGCTGTTACAGATAAGAGAGTTTGCCAAAGTGAATTCGATCTCGATCTGGACTAAACAACAGGCTAGGAAAGCACAGATTCATTTGCTGCTGAGGATGGCAAGGTGATGGCACCTGAGGTCACCATGCTGTGAGAAAATGACAGTGTCCTTGTCACACAGGTGATGCTGGCAACCTTACCGAGCGCTGCTGCTGCTGCTGCTGTGCCCTGTGAGGCACTGGATGCACCCGAGGATCTGGATAGTGAAGAACCATCCCACAACCCCCATAATTGACACACGGAGAGAGGAAGAGTGGAGCTGGGTAGCTGGGCCTCTCAGGCTGCACTGGCTGGTCTTTTGCCTGTCAGGAATATAAGAACAAGAAGAAATGCATCAGCAGTGGAATACAACCAACAGAATATTCAGGTTCAAGTGGGTTGCAATGCTGCTTGTTAGATCCTTCAGACTACTTCTCATTTAAAAAATTATTTAAGACACCTGACTTGTGCCACACCACAGTCTTGACGCCTTTTATGTGAGGAAAACATTGGTTTCAAGCACATTTCTGTGTGTCTTTTCTATTCCAAAACAATTCTATATTTTCATTACACACAGTAGCTTTCAATAGTTTGAAGCACAACTACATAGACAGTCACTTGCACGACAAGATGAAGTAAATAATTTTGGTACAGGACCAAAGTTATTGGCCTCAGATTTGGGTCTGCCTTTTCTTAGACCCTCTACATTCCAGTAGAGTCAACAGGAATTTGCCTAAGGACAGAGCAAGAAGGGGTAAAAGACGATTAATATTCTGTGACCCTGTGAGTCACAACTCAATAATTTGACTTGAGAAAACAAACTAATAAATGTTTTATATGCTTGCTCTCATCTTTACAATCCTCCACAAGCTCTGTTTAATCAAATCCCAAGGCAGGAAGAGACAAGCAGGAAGATATTTGGTGTGAACTGTCGGTGCACTGCAGGGACAGTCATGGCTGAAACCAGCCAGAGTGAGGGGCACTGGGCAGCACCTGGCCTCTGACACCTCAGCAGCACCCCACCACCTCTGATGCATGGCTTGGTTGAGAATAAGACAATCCTGAAGTTTCTGTGTCACAACAATGTCGGGGAGGACAATAAATCACCACCGAGCATTCTGGTAATCAGCCGTTCTTTTAAAGCATTGCACAATTTTGTCAAGACAGGAAACCTCGGAATTTCGTCATTCTTAAATGGGGATTGAGAAAGCTCAGAGTTTTGCATGCCATGATTTTACTATGGCTTCCTACTGACACTACTTTGAAGAGATAAAAAGGATGTTGCAAGAAAAAATTATTGCAGAGGCTGCTTAGCTAATTTGTATGGAGACCATTTTTTTTTCCTCAGCGATATTAACATCACTCTGTAATTCAATTGCAGAGGTCAGGATTAACTACAGAAGCTCTTTATTTCAAAAGTTGGTTTGATCTTACAACTCTTATATCAAGTGCCAGTGAAACAATCAAAGTCCTCTGGATTTGTTTTTGGTTGTATCCACCCTCCCCCTCCTCCATTTTCAGATATGTTTGAAAAGTCTTTGCAATAAATACTCCCTTCATCTACTTATTTTGGAAATCTTCTCTAATCGTTTCTCATCTTCTTACTGCATTACTTCAGAATGATTTCATCCCAGGTGGTGACCTCATATAAAATCCAATGTCAATTAATGGAAGCCAGAAAGCCTTGAGTTGTGTGGAAAGTGAGAAAAAAAAAATAAAATACACATGTGCTGGCAATGGGAGCTTTCTTTTGACTCATACCTGAGAGCTGAGTTTACTCAGTTGAGATTGTAATCTCTCATTAATTTTCTGCAATGCTTCTTTCTCCTCATTAAGCCTCTCTCGGTCAGATCTCTCCTTTCTGAAGTCTTCCTCGTATATTTGGACCTGCAATCATCATGAACAGTGTGTGACCTTCAGCAGAGCCACTTGGTGGTTTGGTTGCTTTCTAAGCACTGCCCAAGCGGGAGGGTGAATTCCAAGGGGATCCCTGCTCTGTACAATCCTCCAAAAAAAGCTTCCCTGGTCTTTTTTTTGTGACCAATGATGGCAATTCTCCAGTGGCACACATCAATTGAAACAGTCCCCAGTGCCAGTTTTTGTACAATCTCACAATTCAAAAAGCTGACTGGCAAATATCAGTTTTAAATATTTAAACGAGATAGCAAATACTAGTATCGATCTTTTTAAGGGATTAGCAGTAGCAGAACAAACATTTTACCAACATTTTCCCAGTTTTCTCTTCAGTTATGGGCACTTTTAACTCCCTCCTGTATCTCAGGTGCAAGGACTTCTAGAAGAACCTCCCCATCCCAGTGTTGAGGCAGAGGGGAGGGTAATGCACACATTTCCAAATGGAATGCACACAATTCCCAGTGGAAATACAGATATTTGACCCTGTTCCTAGAAAATAAACTGCCTTGCAAATGCTGAAGGATGGAGTGGCTTAGCTCTTTTTTATGTGGTCAGGAATCACAGAGCTTCATCCCATTAAAAAATATCTGACCACCCCAGGCATAGGCAGCGAGCACACAGATTTGGGAACAAAACACAAATCCATAAATTATTTGGTGTTAAGATGACTGCCTTAATTCTTCAGCTAATGGGTAGGCATCCACCTGGTGAGAAGCTGGAGGTTGGTGGCACTTCTACTGACAAACAGCAGCAAAGGCATGTTTGGGTGGGAACCACCACCAGAACTTTCAGAAGCCCTTTCATGTCCCCTTGGTTGCTCACAAAAGTCTGCTGACAGTCTCTTCCCAAAAAAAACTTGCTTGCTGTGGCTCATGCCCTGCCCATTGGAGAGATTCAGTTTTCTTTCTGCTGGAAGCACCACTATGACTTCACAGAAGGACTAGAAAAATATTAATATCTCAGGGGAAGGAAAAAGTCAACACAGGGCTCTATAAATTCTTTTCCTGACCCTCTGAAGCAGAGACAAAGCTGTGACTTGCAGAAATCCCTGCATCCCTTGTCCATCTACACACTTCTCTCCTCAGTATTTCCTCTTTTCTTCTCTCCCAATTCCCTCTCTGCTGTCTCACCTCCCTCCCAGTCCCCAGCTGTACAATCTGCTGGAGCTGCAAGGGAACCTCTTGGGCACAGTTTTGCCATTTATTCTGCTGCCCTGACAAAGAGGGGACACCTCCCAAAGAATGAATGCCTTCATCTCCGTTGCTGTGACCAGGGATGGGCTGATGACAGCCAAGCTCCCGTGGGACTCTGTCACGTCCCTCTTTGTCCCAAGAGTCCCTTCTCCATCCAGTTAGAGCCTTCTGCTCCATTTTGTGTAGAAGGAAGTCTGGACTCACTGTACTGATTTATACAGCTAGAAAAACACATTCATAAAATGGATACCCCATGAGAATTGTGAAAAAAAATAAAAGAAGGTTTACTCTATTTTATTGTGTAGAATGAAATAACTCATTACTGTACAATCAAGTGCAGGATTTTGTTCTCCAGCATGTGGCAAGCATTACATTAGAGAGCAAAATCTGGCTCTGCTGTCAAACGTGACAGAAACAAGTATTTTATTCCCATTGAATAAAATTCCCATTCTGATCACATCCATTTGTGTGTCAATAACGTTAACCCTGACACTATCCAGGACAACAGACCTGAAGTGTTAAAATTATCTGAAAACGATATTGTTTTTAAACAGATTCTTTCATATGGAAAGAAAGACAGTGCTCTAAGCATTTGAGTTGCTCAGGACAAAGATTAAAAAATAAATAAATAAATACAAATCTATAGTCCTTGGAATGCAGGTGATGGTTGCAAATGGTTTGTCTCACGCTTAGAAAAACTGCAGTGCCAATGTTCTAGTTTTTCAAGACTAGGATCCTTGGATAATTCACTATAGTGCAAACTTCTAAGATAAACCAAAGCAGTAACTGATGAAATTTAGCATTCCCTCTGGATGACATTCAGCTCCTAGCAGAGAGCTGGCAGGACACCTCCAGGAGTCAGGAGAGCCATTCTGCTCCTTGGAGTCCTCCTCAAGCCCTTGCTCCAGTCCTTTGCCAGGACTTAGTTTCACTTTGTGGCCACTGCTGTGATGACAACATCTGGGGAACCATCATTCCAAAGGGCTGTGGCTCAATTTGCTTTTCCTTTCAAAAGCTCTACACAGCAAGTTTACCAAGCACAGTCCCTGGCAGAGAAGGCAAAATGATGCAGTGTGAAACCCATCTAGGCTCACCTGAGCTGTCCTTACCTGCTGTTTAAGAACTTCAAGTTGGGTTCTCATCTCCTCAATGCTGTTGCTGTCACCCTTCCCTGGAGGAGTCCTAACAACAGGTGGGTGCTGCTTTTTCAATGCATCCAGAAGGGCCTGAAAGGTCAAACAGCAAAATTACTAAACAGACATTCACTACATGAAAAAGATAAAATATCCTTGAAAATTATTAGAAAGAGGTTTCCCCTTCACTTATTATACACACTGGATAGAAATCCACTTTACTACAGTAAAGTCTGAAATGTTTTTTGCACTAAAAGTGCAAAATTCCTTCACGTGGAGCAAAGTAAGCTCTCCCGTTTGAGAGGAAGTCGTGTAGCCTCTATAGTTTGTCACTAGAGGGAGTTACGAATACACACAACACTGGCACCACCCTTAACTCTTACCCTGATATTCTGCCACAGCTCTTCGCAGACTTTGTTTATTTGTAAACAAAGTATTTGTATTTATTTGAGCTCCACAGCTCTCCCTTGGACTGGGATAATCTTTAAATCATTCCTAGACCTCTCTGTCTATACCACACATTATAATTACGTATTATTTTCTTTACTCAAGCACAAACACCATTCAGTACTTTTCAAATTCTGTCACATAAGATATGAATCCTTCACTTCACCCCTTTTCAAAATTGTATTCACGCTGATGATCCTCAGCTCTCCCTTGCTGCCCACACTCCACGAAGGAAGGATGGAAGATATTTGGAGGGGGAAGAGGTAAAGGGGGAAGAAGTGGCCAAACAGGAGAACCAGTATCCAAAGTAATCCAATAAATAATTAATTGGTATTAATTACCCAAAGCCCAAAGAAAATCAAGCACTTTCCATGAAAGGCACAAAAAAGGAAAGCTTTTTATCTGATGAGGTGCTGTCCCTGAGAATTGTTCAGAAGTGAAACTGATATAATAGTGGCAAAGCTTGTGTTCCATGCCAATGCATAAAGAAGGTTGAACCTAAAACTGAGAGGGTGGAAATACAGACACCCTGATTACCCCTCTTTCATACCTTTCTGAGGAGGTTCTACACCTCAGAATTATAGGGGGGGGGTAAGAAAAATCCAGAAAATTCAGTCTTCAAAAAGTTAATGGTAAGGTGAAGATGATTTTTAAACTAGATTTGGAACTAATACTGTGAGACCCTGCTTTACCCATGCACATAAAAAGAAGAAAATGTTGTTTGATTTCAGAGAATTTCTAACTTCAAGTGACTGAACCTGAAATAGCAGGGGACTAAAGTTAAAAGGGCACAGAGGGTCCCTTTCTGTCTCATGTGTATTCATGACATGAGATGTAAGGGCTGCAAATGCACAGAAAAATCAGTAAGTAACTGTTGGAAAAGTGTGTATGAAATTCATGATTCATTTAAAAGAATGCTCTATATATTCATCTGTCTTATTACAGCCATGTCATAAGACAGCAAAATAAAACATTAAAATAATTTTTTAAACAAACCTGAATTCAAGTTAGACTGGAGCTTTGAGCAAGTCTTGTCAATGCATTTCAAAAAGAGCTAGATTTCATGGGTTCTGTCAGATTGTTTTCTTATGGCAACATTATGTGTTTTGGCTTGACTTCTGTACATCATGGCACTCTAGCTTATTAAAGCATTTATTAAAGTTACACAGCAATGGTTACTGCAGTGCATTTCCTCAGGAAGTGTTTGTGGTTCACCATGAAATACAAAATTGCTAGAAAACACCCACTGCTTTATGTGATCTTTTGATGAAACAAAATTACATTTATTACTTTCCTCAGTTAAAAAAAATCCCATGTAGCTATTTAATGACAATTTCTTCAGTGAGATATATATACATATAATATTATAGGTATGAATATGTGTGTGTGTGGATATAAACAACTGGACAGGACCATGTCTTCTGAAGAGAAGCCATCACTCTCAGACACAGAATACATGTAAAATGAGTTTTTAAGCTGTGTGACCTTTCCTTTCAACCACAGTCTTACACTAGGTGCATACAGAAGCATCTTTGTGCCATTTCCCTTTTGCTCTGGGGAGGAAGGATGTGAAAGGGCTTAGACATGACATATAAAGAGGTTTTACAGGAGAAGCCAAATACTCTCTGAATTGTTCTCTTTGCAATGCACCCCTACTACCTGCCAAGAGCAGCATGCACAGATCTGAGCTGGAGCGAGTTCTTGCTTGTTTCCCCAGCTCCCCAGTGGTGATCATGTGTTTGCCACCAGGCTGCTGACCCAGGATTGAGAAGATGGCATCTGGTAGGGCACTGACAACAGAGATGCCAGAATTAGAGGCATCAGTAGCTCACTCCTGTTCCTACCTTGTTGAGACGACTTATTTCACTCTCATAGTGTTCTTTCTTTCTGGTCATTGAGGCATTCTTCTGCTTCAGGAGCCTGTTCTCTTCCTTCATTTCATGGAGAGCTTCACTAAGGACTTCTGTATCTTTCTGGGATGCAAAAAATACAGAGAGATGCTGCAGAAATGCAGATGGAAACATTTTTCAAGACCGATTTTCCGAATAATCTTCTGTCTGACAGATGTGCTGCATTTTTGTTGTCCCAAAAACAGTTGGGAAGGGAGGCAGCAGGAAGGCAGATCATTAGTACACCCAGATATGATAAAGTCTGTAGAAATTGTTTTGACCACTCACCATATGATGAGACAGAGACAACATACCAGACTAAATCCCTGCTCTCTGCAGTTGCACGAAGGCATGGGAATGCTGGCAGGCCAAGCAGATCAAAATCACATCCACAGTTAACTCCTGACCTGCATTTCTCTTATGTACTCAGAGAATAAGGCCAGGGCTAAATGCTGGTGGAGTCCCAGCCATTCCCATTCAACATTGAAGACAAAACCAGAAGAAAAAAAAAAGTATTTCAAATATTTTCTGCAGCTGCTTTATGTGAATAAAAAAGGTGAGATCCAACAATCACAGGCACATCACACCACAGGAATGGGTTTTTTTCTGTGTAAAAGGCACATCTCTGTGCAGCCAGCCACAGAGATCATCAGAAATTCATCACCATGTGCTAATTGAGCCAGTAAAAAACACCCCTGAGTAACTGTTGCTTACACACAAGGAAGCTTGACTCTGCTCTAAGTTAGCTGGGACATTTTCACCAAAAACTAGGCAAGATTTGCAGGGTATCTCTGCAATAAGTATAGGAACTCATCCAGCAGCTAGCTCAAGCACTTCCTGGGTGAGTGTGTAACTTAAAAAAAAAAATTGCAGATTTAAGACTCAAGTTTCATGCTGGTTAACCTGTCCCCATAAAAAGGTTTTGGACTATATTGTCATTTAGTTCATTATTCATGTATGCAGTAAAAATTCTGAGAGAGTGTACCACTCATCCTTCTTTTTATGGTAGGTATTTTCCCAGGTGTTACACATTAAAAGGCAGGCAGTAACATGAACAGAAATATGGACTGTGTCACATTGAATCAACACTCAGAGCAAATAAAGGCAGTGATTCAGCAAGTACATAATGCAGTTTGTGTTAAAACACGTAAATTGCACTATGGATTTGGAATCAAGTGTGTGCTTAGCTAAGACTAATTGATAAGCAAGTAAGAAGAATGTTCTGCTTATGCAGATGTAAGCTAAGGGGGTTGCATTTCTTTCCCTGCAGCAGCTAACTCACATCTTCTCTGAGCCTGGAAGTGATGCAATCGTGATGCAATTGCCACTCGTTTCAGTTACCACGTGAATAGAGAAGCCCAACTTCAGCCATCATCACCATCCAGAAACTCTCACTAGGGGTCATGAAGTACATGATACCATGAAGCAGAATGAGAACAGGAAGCACCACACTGTGGGGTTTCTAAAATGGAGCACAAAGTTCTGTGTAGGTGCCCATCATTCAGGCCAGTGGTTTTACTGATGTGGGAATCCAGCTCAGGGATCTAAGTTTAGATGCAAAAGCCCACTACAAGAGCCAGTGCCCAAGGAGTCCTGGGAGAGCAGCCCTACCACTCTGAGGGTTAGGTGAGCACCACTCTGGAGCAGCTGATCAGCCCAGATCCTTCCAGCCCTGATAACTGCACTGACAGTGCCATTAATGTGTGCAGGGAGCTGAGAGAGCCAGCACATGTATGAGAGCCTGCACTGTCAATACCAAAGCCCAGGGGACTGGAGCTGCATTCACTTCTCGAATATTTCTTGCCAAGCACTTTGTGCAATATCTGCACTGATGTTCCTCTTCCATTTGAAATAACTGCAGCATTTTCCTTCACACAGAAATTCACCTTGAACTGAACTGTGCAGGAGGGAAATCTGTGCAGTTTAGATATCAACCTGCTCTTTACTCCCCCACACACTAATGCTGTGCCGTCTGCCAGTCATACTGAAATGACTCTTTCTCTGTACACAGTTCTGTGATGAACTCAGTGCCTCAGCAGCCACTGCCTTGGGTAAGATATTGAGGAGCCACAGTCTCACCTCTGGGCTGTGCACAACCCACGCTCTGCCTCACACAAGGGGAGAAAGATGAAAGGCAAGAGAGAGCTCAGCACAGAGCACAGAAGGAGTGCCACAGGGCACCCTCCTACCTTTTCCTGCAACAGCCTCTCTCTGCCCAGCTCTCGCCTCCTCTCCTCCTCTGGATGCTGCCGCTGTCTGTCCTGCTGCAGCTCGCTCACTCTCCTCTCCGACACGTCCAGCTTTGCCTTCATCTCTGCCAGCTGAAAAGCAAGTGACAGGCCATGCTGGGCTCTCTGAAAGGCACAGCACCTTCGGGTTGAGCCAGAGGCATAAAGCAGTTCCAGATTAAGTGAAGAAGAGCTATTTGTATTCCTCTTTGTGGGAAAAAGTAAATGAATGATTCAGATCTCAGTAAAGCTTTCTGGAAAATATTAGAGAGAAAATTTTCCTGATAAGCACATTAAGTCATTCTATAAGTTTCTTTTTCTTAGCAGAGAACAGTAGATGAGAAGTGTCAGTCAATGAACCAACTTGGGTTCTGGAATACCAGACAAAATTGTAAATACTGAATTTCACTAGGCAGCTTATGATAATGTCTGCAGCAATGATGCCACACAGTCACAAGCAAGGATAAAAGATACGTCAATTGGAACGTGGATGGAAAAAAAAAGAGAAATAAAAATATTTATTTACAATTCATTTTGAAAGTCTCTGCTTAGAGAGGGCAACTTTAATGAAGAATTTACCAGGAAGCTCCCAGGCTTCACAAGAGATGGGACAGGAACCAGCACATATGTTATGATGTGGATCAGGGGCTGGGCACACCAGGCTGATTTTCACTTAATTGTGCTCCCAGCTCTGTGCCATTTTTACTAGAGTGTGCAGGGCATGAAGATCTCTGCTGTCATGTCCACACTGGACCCTACTATTTTAGGGACACCCTGCTTCTCTGGTTAGTTTGTCCTATTGAAGATGGACACACATTGGCTTCACTTTTATATGATGAAGCTTTTTCAGTTTATGAGCTCAAGAAAAAGATATTTACCGTGGCTATGGCTGGCTGGTATTTAAACACAGACTTAACTGTCAGCAGGTGGCACACATATTGCAACAGAAGTTGTCAGCATTGTTACCTGCTTTTCATAAAGCTGTTTCATACTTCTAAATTGATGATCCCATTGCTTGTTCACCTCCAGAAGCTGTAATTACCAGGAAGGCACAGTAAATAACACTTATTTCAACATTTTCAGTAAATCAAAACCAGATTGGCATTCTAATCCTCTGTCAGTGAATGTTCCCAACCTCCTCATCATCTGGCCAGTTCATTTATTTCAGAAGAAGCAAGCTGAAGGTTTGGCAAGCCTTGCAGCCCATCTGCCAGTGCTTTGGTATTTCGGTTAAAGCACATGAACATTCAGGAAGCAGCACTCAGGAAACGTGCAAACACACGATAAGCTACAGGTGGATCATTTGCAACACTGCACAAATCCCAAGCTGCACCTCCTGCGTGGCCAAGGACTTCCCTGCTAGTTTGCTACAAGTTCCATGAATCTATTTCCAATTAGAAGGTCTTTGACTTCAAACCAATGAGTGGAAGACTTCTACTGACTGGAACCCTACTGGGTGCAAACCCTGCTTGTTGCTCCTTGGCCTTTAGCAATAGTGGTTATTGATAAAATTTGCTCTTTGTACTAAATAAAGTACAACAATAAATCTGCTCATCCAGATTCATAGGCATGGTACAATCAGTCACCACGTGGTTAAGGGAATATTTAGGATTACCTCTCGTCTCTGTCTTTCCAGTGTGAGGATCTGTTGCTCCAGAGAATTGCATGATAAAGGCTTCTTTTTGCTCAGTACTGTGTGCCTTGGCTGGAAAAAAGCAATGTTCAAAAATTAATTGCCTCTAGCCTGTTCTCTTCAAGATTCTCATGTAAAACTCCCATCCACTCTGACAGGTGCACATAAAGGAACTGAAATAAACATCTTGCACCAAATTTGTATCTAAATACCTTCACACCTGCTGACAGCTGATTCTGGAGTGTACATCTGCTTTACACCCACTCAGGCTGTGTTTTAATTGAACCATTATGCAAATAGCCACTGAAATAACCAAAATTGTATCTATTTGTACCATCTGAGACACAGAACACAAAACAGGATTTTAATCATCTTGCAGATGACAATACAAACAAGGAGTACATGCCACAAAAGTTGAGCATGACTTGGTGTAATTAGTTCCCCTCATTTACAAGAACTAGAATAATTAGTAGGATTGCCCCTGGTAAGTGCTTGCAGGCCCAAGGTGATAAACTAGCACAACGGGCTCAAAACAAGCAACACAGAAAACAAATAGGCCATTTGGAGAAATTGAGAAGATCAGTCTGTAATTGTTCTATTATTTTAAAAATGTGTTGTTTCACTCATGCAGGACAGCAACAGATAGACCCTCATTTATATAATGGCAGTGTTGTATATCATAATTTCCAGGAAGTTTCTATGGATTGGCATGAAAACAAACATGTGATCTATTAGAGAGAAAGACAGAGAACTGTACTGGAAAAAAAGAGACGGCCTCATAAAAATAGAACTTACTCTGTTCAGATAGATGCTCAGGGATTTTTGTTTCCCTCCCTAAATTCTCAACCAATACATGAAAAACAAGAATAATAGTGTGAGCACTTCTGAGGTCTGGAATAAATTTTCTGTAGATAGAGAATTTAATGCTGAATACCAATGAAGATCAAAAGACAGTGTTGTTGTGTCTTTTCAAAGGCAAAAATCCCAACCACATATTTGCCCCATGGCCAGTCCTGCTGAACTCTGATGTGGAGCCCTTGACTTCCAAGCCAGAAAACACTTAATCCCTCTCCTTGTGGTTCACAGACATGTTTCATTTAGAGTATCTGAAGCAATACCTGGCAGCTAATGGAGATATTCCCGTGCTGAATTGCTCTCAGCATCTGGGCCTTAGGCATATATTGAAGAGGATGTTTAAGAATAGTGATCAAGTGAATAGGACAACTCACAAATCTAACAACTAAACATACACTTGACACCAACTAGCCCAAATACTGCTCTCAGAATTTGTTGGGTCACTCAAATGAACCACTTTGTGCATCCTTTGTGCAACTACTGGAAGGCAAAAAAAAACCATTAGGAAAGGGCTTCTTTCTAAGAATGCCATCTGTAAAAATATTTCTAACATTTCCTTGTACTCTTAGACAGTTTAATCATTCAGAAAAATCGAATAGAACACAAAGATCAGCCCATAATTGTCAAAGTGACCTGCACCAGCTCCTGTTAACCAGAAAACATTTCAGAGAGCAGCCAACACAGTCACTTACTTCCAATGGTTCTGCTGGAGCTTCCATGTCACTCCCACCTTCCCAGGTGCATCCAAGCTGGCCTGGAGCCTTTCCTTCACTGTGTGTCTTGGGAAGAAGAGCAATGAAACAGATATTTTATGTTGACTAAAAGAGCAGGAGAATTGCTTTCACACCCAGAAGATCCAGGAGTGCTGCCTGTGGAAGCAGCCAAGGTCCAGAAAGAAGTGGTGGAATTCTGATTTTAACCTTTTCCTCCTTCCTGGCTGGGGCTTCCCAGAATGGATGAAGCACAATGCCTATGACTAATGTGCCAGGCAAGGCAGCTCTCTGCTTTGTGTGCATGGAAATCACAATTGCCTGGCCAGTTCCCCCCAGAGAGGAAGTTGCATTTGTAAGGGAAGGAAGGGTATTTGCTCTTTCAGTAAATACGAGGACAGGCTTTTCTATCCCTGCTTCCAGTTATAAAAAAGGACTTCAGTAATTGCAACAATTATTGACACTAAGAGTGAACTATCAGAACAGAAAAATGAGTGAGTCATGCTTCTAAAGGAGCAAAAGAAAAGTCTGTTAACAGCTACAGGGAAGAGCACCCCCATACAAAAACCCCAAGATGTTTAGGGGAAAACCAAAATTGGAAAACTGATTTGTTTCCCCGAAGAAAAGCTGCACAAAGATGAAGGAGGACAGATGTTTTATTTGCACTTCTGCCACTTGCCTTACCTGAGCATGGATCCAGCTTCAAGCTACTCAAGACTTGGGTACTCAAAGGTACCCAACACTCCAAACCTGTGCCTCAGTTTCCATTCAGAGGAAGATGTTAACATTAATTTAACCAAGTTAAACTCACACAAAGGATTAACAGAGAAAAGGCTTCCACAGATTTCCTATACAAACTCAGAATGAAACAGAAAAGGGTAAAGTTTTCTTGTCTTCAGTCTTGCAATTCTGAATAATAATGGATTTCAGAGGGAAGCATGAAAGAAAAATCCTGCTCCTTCTTGTGGAAATATCTCTGGGTCTATGGTTTTTGCATTGGCAGCAGAGGTTGTTTATTTCATTTTCAAGGAATGAAATGAAAGCTAGCCTGTGAAATTTGACAGAAAATAATAGAAACCCCTCTTTCAATTTCCAAAAACCGATTTAGACAAAGTAAAGCAATCCTGTGAAATGCTGGAGTTTTGCAGCCACATTCCAGATCTCCAGTTCACAATGTGTGACTAAGAAACTCCTCTTTTGCAAGATACAAACCACAATTTGGAAGAAAGCTACTATTCTATAATATTTGCATATGAAATATGTCCTGCTACCCTGAGGTTCTTTCCATTTTTCTCCTGGTTTATGGAGCAGCTGGAAAACTTGTGGTGTATCAAGAGAAAAATTAAAAAACAAAGATTATTTTAATGAAGACAATTCAGATTCTACATGAGTCATCCTACTCATCAAAAATTAGAAGAATTTCATCTGCACTTATATCAAAACTAGATATTGAGCATATCAGGTACAGCACTGAAGACTATAAACTGGTGCAGAAAAACACCAACACCGGGCATCTGATTAATCAAAATCTCATCATAAACCTTCCACATTGCACATCTGCTCTTGAGGGTGATGCCTCTCAAGCCCAGACACTGTCCTTCCCCAGCTCTCACTCCCAGCAGTCTCATCCCCACTCAATTTTGGAGAAAGCTCAGGTTGAACAGCTGCATTTTCTGGTCTGGCCTGCAAGGCAAAGCAGCCCCAGTTTCTGGTTTCCTCACAGGAGCATGCTGGGCTGTGGTGAGTGAGGCACTGAGCAGTCCCCACAATGGGGACAGAAGAATAAACCCAGAGCACAACCCCACACATCAATCACAGCTCCCACTTGAAAGATACTAATGCTCAAATTACTTTGAGGAGAGGATGAGGCTGAGCCCTTGGTTGATACTCTAATTTAGGTCACAACAGTTTCCTGGAGAGCTGAGTAATTTCCTGGAAAGTTACCTGGACATGAGGACACCAAGTCCTTTGTTCATAATTTCTTCATGACTGCAGTAATGACTGCTTCAAGTGAATGATTTTGCATAAAATTGGACAGAATAGAATTAAGACCAAAGTATTTTTCAGTGCCTGTCTCATCCTGCCTAGCCATCATAAGGACAACTGGTTGCCACATAAAGACAGATCAGAGAGAGAAGAGTATGTCTGAAATGATGAATAGAAGAAATGCCAATGAGTAGAGAAGAAAAACTCAAGCTCTTCAGAGGTATTCTGGTATTCTTCCAGCAAAAACTGGGAGGTTGAAGCAAAATCACTGCCTGTTTCTGAAAAGAGTTAATAGCACCAAAAAGAAAGAGAAGGAGATTACAACATTCATTTGCATTGATATCACAGTGATAAGGACACTACATTTTATGTTTACTGCTATCAAGAAAAACTTAGTTGTACAACAGCACTCCAGAAACCTGAGATATACAGAAATCCTTGAAAGAAGGACACTTGGAGACCTATCATGTTTCAGAATTCAAAAAGCCCCACAAATATTTTAAAGCATTTCTACTTGGTTTGAAGCTGTTGAACAGAACACATAGTTTAAAATTGCTTGGAAAATTCCAGTTGAAAACCAGATTGTAAATGCAGTCACAAACCTAAAAATCTGCCAGGTATGAAAAAAGCTGCTCAGGAAGTAAATGGGAAGATTTCCTGGCCCTCACACTCCCCAAGTTAACTCCCAAGTGGCATCTTACAACAACCTAGAAGCCTCATCTTAATTTCTATTTTATTTCCATGATACCCCGTGATTTCTATTAGTAGCAACTGTGAGATTGTTGTTTCATTTTCTTTTAATATCCTGTTTAAAAATGAGAAATATTTTAGTTTGTATTCTAGGACAACCTGAGCTTCCTGAGCATAAAGGACTTTTAGGAATCAGAGCCTTGGAGCTACGGTCAGCCCTGAATCCTCTCACAGCCTCAGCACCACAAGATCATAAAAGTTCTCATTTTCAGAATGCTGGATGTGAATTCTGGGAACAACTTGTGTCACTACTACAAAATATCACTCATAAATTCAGGTAATGAAAACCATTTCTCACTTCTGAAAATTCTTTGTCTGTTCAGTAACTGCAGTGAAATCAAGAATCATTAAAAGGTCTCATATGCAAGCAAATGTGAGGCTTTCCTTGATAACAAAATCGACCAAAATGGCAAAGTCATATTTTTTTTCCTAGCTGTTCATGCATCTGCTGTGAGGTTTGTTGGGGATTTTTTTATTTTAATCTTTAAAAATTTATTGTTCGGTTGCAGACTTGTCAAAGCTAGATTAACTCTGAGATTACTTGAATTAAAATTTGGTGACTTTTGGGGAACCTTCACTTAGCTCATGTTCCAGTTGAGCCTTGGTTTTGGCTTTATTGCTGAAGCTGTTATACCAGCAGCGTTTGCCAAAATACCCATTTTTCCCATTCTGAGGCATGTGGTGAAATGGTAAAAAATGAGAGATTTTAGCTGAAGAATAAAACTGGCTCTTGAAGCAGAAGAAAAATCTGCCTCTTCCTGCCTCAGCCTGGCCCCTGTGCCTCAGCAGAGAGGTGTGCTGGAAAGGGATCTTCCCTTCCCTAAGTGTGTCAGCCTTTTGTGCTGCTCACTTACACACTCCCTCTAACAGAAAAATAGGGACAGATGCAAATTTGTGTCTTATTATGTGGGAACCAGATAAAATTAGAGCAAGAAATGGTTTCAGAATAAATCAAAATATTTGAGCACAGGATTCAGGATTTCCTTTATCCACTAACCATAAGGGCATGGCTTCCCAAGTACCTAAGAGTTTGCAAACTCAGGCGTGCTGATGAAAATGCAAGTTTCATGTGAAAATAATTGGATGACATTTGCAAATCTAAAAAATGCAAATCTATTCCCTTTCCCAGAATGGAGAATGCAGCATCAGGACAAGCTGCAACTGAAGGAATCCTAGACTGAAGGATGTGCTGACAAATTCATTCTGCAGACCTATATTTTCTCCCTCTCAAATATTTGCATTTAAAACCACATGCATATCATAAATTTTTATGGAAAAAAAATCCCATCAAGAAGGCGAATTTGTTTACAGAAATTTACAGATTAGCCTCGAAAGGGATTTAAGGTCAGATGGAAATGCCATCCTGCAGAGTGCAATTTGTACTCTTCACTCCAGAAAAAAAGTTACAGAATGAAAATGACCTGCGAGCTCTGACAAATAACTTCCTGATGAATGACTGACAGTATAAGGAAGTATGAAATAATGAAATTTTTGTTTCATTATTAACTTTTTCGTAACTCTTAAGCATATAATTTGCCCCTCATTTTAAGTCCAAATCAGCATAATTTCGCAAACAGACATTTTCTCTTGTCAGTGGTTTTTAATATTATTTCATAATCTTCACAAAGTGTACCAGATGTTAAAAGTATGACCTCCTTTCCCAAACCAAGACAGGTACTCCTAGCACCTTACACTGAGGTTGTTGAAGCTCCTCAGAACTGTGAAACTGTCACTCACTTGAAGCCCAGCTCAACAATCAGCCAAGTGAAAAGCTGCATGACTTAAAAGTCTAAATAAAAAATAGCTAGCATGTGTCTAGTGAAGAAATATCGTGAAGTGTCCCTCTTTAAGCTCTGAAAGCCACACACACGCACATTTTACAGGCAAGAAGTGCTATAAATGCAAAGAGCATAAAAGCACCACAGATTAAATACTGCCAGTCTCCTGTGTGAAGCACTGCAGCATCCTTCAGAAAGATTCAAGGTGAGCACATCTGTTCTCCTTCTTCCCCATATTCCCCAAATCCTTTCCTATGTCTCCTTCTGCTGGAGAGAAGCTAACATGTGAAACTTGGTGTTTCCATGGATCATCTGTGGCTTGTCATTTCAAAGGTTGGTTCTGCCCTGACTTCTGCTTCACCACGTTTATTTCTCCCCTGCCTGCGGGAATCCCCATCCCTCCCTGTGGCTTCTCTCTCACCGTTTCTAATCCCACTGCTCTGACCCTGCGGTGTCTCCTTAGGCTCGGCTCAGCTTCATGCCCCGAGGTCATGAGTCATTCTGGAGATGGCGGTTTGCATGTGAAAGGAGCTGTGTGTAATTTCGGATTTCGTAGAAGAGAGTCATCTCCCTTTTACCTCCTCATCAATTTCCTCCATTGTGCCCCGGAGTGCAGCCTTCAGTTTTCCTTTTCCCCATCCCGTGCTGGAGTCACGCAGGTAAGAGCGTCATCCCTTGTAGGTGGATCATTGATGCTTTAATCACTCCTCTCCTCCACACCCCTCCCTGCTCCTGTTCCCAGTTTGGGGAAAATGGGGAAATTCCTTCCATTCTCGCTATTTTAGGGGAGAGGAGTGAAACTGAGAGGGAAACCCAGAACAAGTTTCTGTCAGGCTTGTTAACCACTGCTACAGTGCAGGCAAAGAACCGCCTTAGCAGGTGGCTTACGATTTTCTGTTTGCAATACCACAGGAGTATGGGTTTGAATCATCACCATTTTCCTTCTCCTCTCTCCCTATTCATCTAAAAGCCTTTTTGACACTTCCACAAGTCTTTGTGTCCTACACCTCTGCTCATTCCCAGTTAAATCAGAACTTCCAAATGCATCAAAAACGGGGGCTTTTTGGGGCTTACACAGTTCCAAGGATCTGTATTATCCAAAAGGCACATCTGGCTACAGGGTTTGACACTTAGGATAATAATCAGTGGGTTTAGCTGACCTTTTAAAGCACTATAAAATGGACCTTCTCAGCCACTCTTCCTCATACCAGGAAGTAGCTGTATCAGGGAAAAAAAAAATGTGTAGCAAGTTCATTGCATCATTTGAGAAATCCTAAAGTTTCATGCATAGTCAAGCCCCGCAGGAACATCCCCTGAACGCTCTTTCCTGGCAGATAAACATTGCAAAAGCACACTGTGATTACCTTAAGGGAACACGAAGTTCTCCGAGGGCTCAGCCTCTCTTGGGCAAGAGGTTTGGGGTCCTCACACGACTCCAAAGTGCTGTTCTTCCCTATTAGGTTCCTTATTTCAACATCCAGCTCTTTACTTTCACACCTGCTTAGGAAGAAAAAACAATATTCAATTTTGCACCAGAACCTGAGGCTTTCTTCTGAATGTGAGAAGGCAGAGCTAATCCTGCACCAGGCTCCTGCTCCCTCCCTTCCTGGTAACACAAGCATCAGGACAGTGACACACAACCTCTAATGCTTTGTGGCAGAAATTAATTTAAAATACTTACACAAAGAACCTTTATGAATTGCACCACTTTTTAACTACAAAATCTAAATCGACCCTTTCGGGGATTATATGAAGATTGCCATGTGCCCTCAACCTCACCCACTCACAGTTTCAAGAGTTTTAAACTCAACTTCAGCAAAAATGCAATCAGGAGAGTTGAATAGGTTTAGAACTGCAAAACGAGGAGCTCAGTTCACAAAGTCCTTCGAAGGCATATTTTGTTTTCTCTAACACTTGGCAGCAGACACTCAACAGGCATTTTCAAATTTTTTTTACTAAAGGTTCCTTTTAAAAACATATCTTGTTAAAAACCTGGTCTGTTGAGAATATTAATTTTTTTTTTTTTTTTAGTGGGAGATTTTTTTCTTTCAGTCTCTCTGCTAAGGACATACAGGACTTAGGTGCACATAAGGGCTCGTTCCAAATTCACAGAACAAACTTGCAAGGGCTGATTCACGTGATACACTGGAATGGTGGAATGTGACTTCCAGATAATTAACTGAGATATTATTAACACAAGCCCCCTAAATCTCCTAGATCAACCCAAATTATCAAGAAAGATTCATCTGTTTTGCAAGCTTAGACTTCATTGTCTAATCAACTGAAACCAATTCTAAATCTATGTGTGACCAGAATGCAAACTTCAAGGCTTAAAAATATCATCAACCTGTTACAGCAGTATTACTTCTTGATTTAGGCAGAAAAGACAAAATTCTTTATTTGAACCACCAAAAAAACCAAAAGCTGTAGGAGTTTATCAATTACACTTCCTAAAGGTTAGACAGTCAATCCTCAGGGACTGCACCACAGGTTCTGAGGAAACTCCTGAAGCAAAATTGATAAGATTATCCAATAAACAAACCAATCTATCTTAATCATAAGAGTAAATAAGCGTGGTGAATTTCATGCTGATAGCACAGAATGATTCATTTAATGCTCCATATTTCAAAAACAGAGACTGTAGCAGAAATACATGTTCACTAAGCATAGATACAAAATCATTTCCAAGAGGAAATAAAATACCAACAGTTAGCAAATAAAGGTTAGTAAAATTCTAGAGGTTTTTTTTTTTTTTTACTTGCTGCTGGTAGTTAGATGAGCAGTACTTTCATGGCCATGAGGATTAAAAGCAAGACCTTCCAAGGCATATTTTCATGAACTCCAGGGTGGTGCAGGAGGCTGCAGCTGCTCTGAGAGCTGGTGGCACTTTCCAGAGCCTCAGCTGTGTGTGGGTGGCAGGTGAGCCCCAGCAGGAGCACAGGCACCACGTGGCAACTCAAGGAGAAAAACTGCAGGAGTAAAGCAACCAACCTGGCAAAAGAAATCCAGCCCTTCTCTCTCTGGCTAAATGTTGCAAAATCCTGGATAAGTCAGGGCAAGTGGCACTTTTTCTAAGCAATTGTGCTGAGGTTCTCAGATCTCAGGCAGAAGCCAGAGCAAGCACTCTGCACTCTAAAGTGCATTTCCCTGGAAAAGAGCACCTTCAGCCCATTTGGACTCCAATTCTCGATGCTAGCTGAGATGGCTCCAATTCTGGATGCTCTCTGTGTAACAGAGGTGCACATACCTTGTGCAGAGCCCTGGCTGCTTCTGAGGCTGCTCACAAGAACTGAAAAGCCACAGCACGGAAGCAGCCACTTGCTGCTGCCATTTACCACCCCCAGCTACCAGCACTACTCCCCCAGCCTGGGCCAAGTAGCCACTGCTTCTAAACTCTTTTAAGACGAATAAAGCAGCTCAGCCTAAGGAAAAAATACTCAGGATAAAGGAGCAATGCCTAGGTGCAGCCCTGGGGACAGTAAAAGATGAGCAGCAATCTGGCAGGAGTGCAGCAGCAAATTCTCGGGCAGGCTGCACTCAGCTCTGCTGCTGGTTCAGCCACAGCAAGTGGAGATGTGTGACCACAACCTCCTGAGGTCAGAGCATGAACCAAGCTGAGAAATACCCCATAAACAGGGGGGTTGGCTCTTAATTTCTTCTTTCAGCCAGGAAATGTTCATTCCTCTGCTCTGCTCCCCACAATTTGATGTTGTAGCTGTAAATGATATTCACCTCTGGCTGCTCTTACCCTTTCCTCTCTGCATTCTTCTTTCTGGACTTACCTGGGCAAGAGCAGGGCCCAGCTGTGCCTGGGTGAAAGAAAGACAACTACAAAAGGCTCAGATCTCTACAAACCCATTTCTGCTCTGTAATATCCATGTGATTGACGATTATCATGGAAGTCAGCAAGTTTTTAGACTGAGAAACTATTACTGCATTTATCTGCATTTTATTATCAGCCACGTTGATAATCAGAAGGATACATTTATGGTGAGCTAGAACATTAATCATATCTGATGTGTAGATCTGATTAAGAATCTGGACTTTCAGAGCACACAGATACATCAGATGCTTGAAAACATCAAGGCACTCGTGATTAGGAGCTATCCCAAAGCAAGACGAGCTATCAGAGCTTCCCCCAGAGAGCTCTAGAGGGCACACAGCATTCAGATTCTGCACAGAGCATTTTCAAAACTGCTTTTGGTTTCCTGGAATTCACAGGTACAGGCTCTGCACCATTAAAACTTTTCAGAAAATATTAAAAGCATTTTTCTGTGGTTGTAGAAAACAAAGTGTATCGCTTCTATGTGCTAAAGCTTTCTAAAGGACACAAAGATATAAAAGCTACACATAGCAAGCTGTGATTACTGCAGGAGACAATACAAGATTTGAGTGTTAACTCTCCTTTGTATACTTTTAGTTAGTTGCAAAATTTCCTTATTTTTTTTTAAAAATTAAGGTCTTTTACATGGAAGCAGAAGGTACAGATGGAATGAAGGAAGCTGGCCCAGCATAAGTTTTAGCAACTTGCAGGGAAAGAAGAGAGCCCAACCTTCCTCACAATTTTCATATTCATTTTCCTATCTGAAAAGCCATGTCCTCCAAGAACAAAAGATTTGGCATGTCCCTTTTGATTTTCAAGTTGTCATATCCATGCAGAACTTCACTGTGCACTCCATTAAAGGTGTTTTCATTTCTCCCACGTGTTCAGCTTGCTGCCTTTAAAATGGTTTTCACTTCTTGCCCCATGGTACATCTTTGCACCACTTCAGTTTCTAGGCTCTGCTGGTCTATTTATAATTATTGCTATTACTTTTAATAGTATAATGCTCTAAGTAATAATGATTGTTTATTTATAAATGGTTGCATATTTTTGACAGAAATTCCATTTTTAAGCTGAGAGCCAGAACATGATCAGCCCCATATTTTGGGTTGAGCAGCATAGATTGAAGGCTGAGAAATACCAGTTTGTCAAATAAGCAGGTACAAGCTCCCTAAGAGTCTCAGGTTTGCATCTCTTGGTTTTCCCTGTTTTTCACTGGCATTATTCCTTCACTCATAGCAGTTACATGGTAACAATGGACATACCTACAAGATGTCTCGAGGCATTTATTGCACAATATTAATACCAAAGCCATATAATTCTACTTTAAATATTAATTTCAAGGCTGGTGTGAAGGGGTCATTCTCTTGTGGTGGTGAAAGCACAAATACACACCATAAACAATTGTGAAAAAAGGCTTTAAACCAGGATTTACAGCCAGACTCCAACACCATGGAGTCATATTTTGATGGGAAATGAATTCCAGAGTTTAATGGCAAAACATGTGCTTCATCCCCTTGGGTGGGCATTTGGGATGTAGGATTCTTGCTTGGCCAAGCCTAGGAGCAAATTTATGGAAAGAAAGACATTTCTGCATTTGAATTACAGAGAATGAACTCATCAGATAAATTAAAAATGTGGCAAATTTCAAGAGAAATTTTTTCAGCTAATATTTCCCCTATTTATGACAATAGACTTCATTTCAGATAAAAAGGCCTGTAGAATAAGGGGGAGAATCAGATTGAATTACAGAATATCTAATCTAACTTGTACTAGAAATAGACTTAATTTAGGAATAAAAATAGGGATATAATTCTTAAAAATGACACTTTATCTGTAAAACGAGCCTATTCTCTTATGTTCCATGTCATTTTGCTCCCTTTTAATTCAGTTTTGTAGAATTCTTAGATTCCTTTTCATGCAAATGCATTGGGATTTTTATATTAAGATCTTCTCCAGATAAGACTAAATAATAGCAAAAGAATTGCCAGTCCAATAAGCAATAGGAAGAATAAAGTTTTGCCAAGAAGACTAAAAGACTTTTGTAACAGAAAAAAAAATTTGCAGCCTCATAAGCTCTTAGAAGTTTAGCAGACTCTGAGCTGATAGAGAATAGTTAAAAAGTGGTGCAGCTCCCTAAGGACCAGTGGTGCTATTCCAGTACTCAACACTCCACTCAAAGTTTAGGCTTGGGAATTTGAGCCAGAACTTTTGAAATTGAGCTCCACTTATTCCATGTTCCACCTCACATGTACCACCATAAAAAATAGTTTATTGGGCATAAAGCATACTGTGAAGGGACAAACACAAAAAGAACACCTGCCTTTGATGATTATGAATAGATTCTTAAAAAGAGAGTTTAGGAAAAAAAAAAAAAAAAGGCAACACATTATTTCAGATGGTTTCTAGGTTAATATTTTGAGTTTCACTCCCTAAAATATATTCAGTATTTCAAGAACATAGCTGGAAAGCAAACCAAGCATCAGCTGAGATGTCCCTGGCAGAACTGTGCTGTCTTCAGAGTGAGATGTCCCACAGGTCAGTGTGGGATTAGGAATAACCTCACCCCAGTGCCAAGAAGAGAGCTCCCTAAGGTGCATGATAGGGGTTAAAACATGCACTGTGAGCATAGCAGAGAAACCACTTAAAACTTTCCCTCAAATCTGATGTAGCCAAAACATCTGCCTCTCACCCCATAAACGTCCCTACACTTCTGTTCCCTTTACGACAAAGAATGGGCCTTTTAAGGCACATTTAATAGCCAGCAGCTGTTGGGCTGTCAAATGCCACATCTGGAGAAGCTGTGTGCTGTTAATGTGAGCAGAAACAATTATTCCCTAATACTTTTGCTTAATTTTAAGAATTACACAAATGACAACAAAAGGGAGGCATGTTCTTAATGGAAACACATCTGGTTCTCTCTAAAAACGAGAAAAAAAAGAAAGGGAGGGGGGTGCAGTGATTAAGTGAAGCTGCACCTATAATCCATCCCAGCTCAGTGAGGAGAAGAACAGCTACTGATATACAGGCACTCATGGCTCTCAGTGTTTGACTGCTCCCCTCAGGAAATTTGCAACATGCAAGACGACCGTGGCTGTTAGTTTGCATTAAATGATGTTATTTATCACTTGGTGCTGCTCCCTCCATGCCTGGATATTCCTGTCCCTTGGGAAGTTTCCATGCTGCTGCCTCACTCCTGTACCCTGCACAGCTTGTACATCAGGAAAAGAGCATTATCCCCCCTCCACTTGGATTTCCTACTTAATTATACCACCAAGACATTGACTGTCTTCCTGATGGACAGCATTCGGGCTGTGTTCAAACCTCAGGAAAGCCAATTAAATTATTTCCATCAACTTGCTCAGGTTTCAAATGAGCCGTGAGTTGCAGACAACTGTCTCCCTGGAGAGACAGCAAGTGGGGCACTGTCACCCAGACTCATCCCCAAGGCCTCACGTAGCTGCATGTGGATCACCAGTGGAAAGGGAATTGATTTTTGCCATGAAAATCAATCAGCTGGAAAGCCTGGCCAAGCAGAGCCACCAGGCAGCACGTGCTGTCTGAGCAGATGATGTCCCCCACTGAAAGGCACAAAAGCTGTGGGGAGGTGGCAGGAACGTGTTGAAAGAACTGAAAGCTCCAAAGACACGAAGGGAGGCAAATCTACATGTTTTCAAGTGCTCACTCTTTTTCTGTGGAGATCAATGCCTAGAAGAGCTTGTGCCCCTTTCAGGGCACTTCCCTGGCCTCAGTAGGTGCCTTTATGGAATGGTGTCCCTCCCTGGCCCCTTCTGGACTGGCTGCTTGCCCTGCACATTCAGCTGGAGCCCCACAAGTCTGTTCACATCCTACATGTGGCTTGTTCCTCTGGAAAGCTGGGACTCTGATGCAGTGCAATTGCACAGAGCTGACATTCTTAACTGGTCCTTGACATCACGACTCTCTTTTCCAATCAGCCCATTCTGCCTCCTGCTTCAGCCTGGGCCAGGATGGGGATGCTTCAGCAATGCCTTGCTGAGCTGGGCTCAACCTTTGGAGGAAAACAAGCCCATGATTCATTTGAGTCCACGTCTCCCACACAGAGCTGAGGTATTTGCAGTGATCTACTAACAGCACAAGCAGGACAGACAGATGAAAACCATTTGGAAATGCAGCCAGGAAATGTAACATACAGTAGCTGACAGGGGACGACCAGCCCTGTGAGTCAGGTCAGTTCCCTGTCTGTGGTGGCTGCCAGGCAGCCTCAGCTGAAAGGGAGAGGGCACACACTGCACTGTTTAATACTCTCAGTATTATCAGAAGAACTAATACTACCTTGTGAAACTGCAGGTGCCCAAAAATGTTTAACAAAGAAGTTTTTGCATGTAACATCAACATGGTACCTTTCCATCTCGACACACTCATAGGGGCACAGTTCCATGCAATCCTCTGCATCTTTCTTCTTCATTTTGAGCTCCTCACAGTGAATCTCTTAGGAACAGGGAAGAAAAGAAAAAATCAACAATCCAAGAAGAAAAAGTTAAGTATCCAATTACAATGAGACAGATAACAGTGTCTTGTATTTCTATTTTATTCTTCATAAACTGCAAATGGTTGACAAGCAAGCCAGGAATCTACTTCCTCCTTCCCAGCATCATCCTCTAAGTCCATCACTGTGTCAGGGACAGTTCTGCAAGGGCAGGAGCAACAAAAATCTCTGGCTGTGGTGACAAACATCTACCCAAGGAACAAAGCTGGCAGCAGTAGCAGGAACATTGGAAGGGTTGCAAAAAAGGCTTTTATTAATCATCCTTAAAGAATAAATTAAATTTCATACTCTAGAATTCAAGCATGTCCTCACATTGTCCAAAAAATTCCTATGCTTAATGGAAGTGCCCAGTAAAACTATTGCTCCAAAATTAAGAGAATTTGAGTAATGACTCTGATCTAAATCACTTGGAGAGAAGAGAAAAGGAGCCACATGTAAGTTATTGAGCACGAGTGTCTTGTTCAAGCTCTCTACAAGCTCCCTTCTGGTCAGGCAAGTTCCTCTCCAGGACTGCATTTCCAAAGAGAAGGGAGACAAAAAAATCCCAAACCAAGCTCCCAGAGAAAAGAACTGCTACAGTAGCAGTCCACATCAAGATAATCCCTTGATACTGAAGGTTTTGAATTTAAACTGTGAACACGAAAAAGGCAAGCAGCACCTCTCCATCTCAAGTGGGAGAAGAGATTGTACAACGAGTGAGCCAACCTCACCTCATCCAGAGGAATCTTTCGGCTCCTGTGCTCCAGGCTGGTGACAGCCCTGGCTATGGCTCCTCAGACACCTCTAGTTCATCAGGAAAAGAGCCCAGAAGCCTCATTTTTCTCTTTAGATCAAACAATATAATTATGCTAGTTGCTAGAACTGAAAATTGACAGGTTTCATAAGATCTATCTTAAGGACAGCAAGGTGACCACTGAAATGAAGCGAGGAGCCATCCAGAGCTAAACCTGCTACTTATAAGCAAATAAGTTTTCAATTCCAAATCACTCTCTTTATTGGTAACATCAACTTAATGTGAAACCACAGCTGAACATTTTATAGAAAGCATGCTGCTTCATCTATGAGCAGGGCAGAAATTTAAAATGAAAGGTTGCCAGCAGAAGATCTGAGGTGTTTGGCATCCCTCCCCCTTCTGAATTCCAATTCCTGCAGGAACTTCACACATTCTATCTGCATCTGGTAATCACTAATTACAAGGATCCTATTTAAAAAAAAAAAAAGTCAATTCAGTTTCATGTGAAACTTGATTCCAGCTTGTCTGAGTTTTATGAGTGTCTGTTTAATCATAACACAATCACGTTGAAGTATGGAAAGCTGCATTTGATTGATTTCAATGGCAGCAGCAGACACTGGGGACTAATGAGGATTAAGCCTTATTTTGAGTCCCTGAACTTGGCCTGCATGTGTCTAACTTAAAAATATCGAATTTGAAAAATATTGACTTGGAATGAACACTCTCTACCACCACTGAAACAACAAAAAAAAATAAAGCAAAATGACTAAAAGAAATCAGAATAGAAAAAAAACCCAAAATTGACCCAGAACACCACAGAATTCAGCCTGTTACTCCAGCTCTAATTTGTCCCACTGAGCTTTGACATTTCACCAGTTTCAGATCTATTTGCCAAGCTGGGCACAATATTGCAGCCCACATTAAAGGGATGCAGGTCAAATGTTACTGAAAATATGAGACCCATGTTGCTAAGAGTCATGGAAGAAGCAAACAAAAAAAGAGTTTTTGTTCTGAAAAACTGGAAAGGAAAAAAGCAGAGGTGAATGAACACAAGCAAGTATTTATTTAGTTATTAAATGAGTTCTTTACTGGTTCAGCAGTGTGAACCAGATTTGGGGGCCCTGCTGGGAGCTCTCTGGGGCTGCAGTGAGGGTGCTCCGGGTTTTCCATGTCCCTTCTCTGCCAAGCCAGGCAAAGACAGAAAAAAGCTGCTAAAATCTGCCAAGTGCCACATCCCTGCATGGACCAGCTGCACACCCAGGCAGCATAAACATGCATTTCTCCAAAAGCCCTGCTGCTCATACTGCTGGGGTGGGGGACATTGTGCAGGTCTCCTGACTCTTAGTCATATGCAGATTTTGCAGCTAAAAATCCAAATCTCCATTTGAGAAGCTGAACGAAAAGAGATGCGACCCAGCGGTTGTGCCCCGTGCAAGTGTTTGTTATTAGAACAACCAGGAGTTTTTTTACAACCATAAAATGCAGTGTAATGCTGTAGGTTTTTATTAGATCTGGCAGACTGAAGCTAAAATGGAGAAAATTCAGCTACTTCAAAGAATTAAGGCTCTGTAAAAGAGGGGGTTGTAATGGTCATGTAAAGGATTGCTCAGAATTACATAAATTTTCTGCTTTCTGTCAAGGCTTTTAAGAACAGGAACACCCTGAAGTAAAACAGCATCAGTTCTGCTCACAGATTTATGAGGTTTTGCAATAATTGGAAATGTTTGTTAAAAAGTGTGTAGAATTTCCTTGGTGCTCACCCACCAAATTTATCACGGCTCCAAGCCCTCAGTGTTTCCTGGATACACCCAGAACAGGTCAAAAATGCACTTTTTTTTGGCTGGAGCATTAATTTACATTAAAAACAAATTTCCCACATAGAAAAAATACATGTGAAGAGGGAAAAAAAAATACATTTTTCAAGAAAGACAATGAGACTCACTAATTCTAATGAAAATTAGAATTGTAATTGTAAAATTGATTACAACCAGAGAGGCACTCATCACACCGGGGTTTCAAAATATTTTCCAAAATGCTTTTCACAAACATCCTTATTGCAAATGTTAAATCCTGCACTGCTCTTGCCCCATTCTCTTTTTCTTTCCCAAGTCTAGTTCTAGCTTAAGAGCATCTGATATTTCCAAACCCTGCTCATTTTACCCAAACTTGCTCAGTAATTCACTTATATTTAATTTGTACCAAAGCAATATTTTATGGGAATGCAATGTAAAATGAATGCCAGAGGTGAGCCAGACTAAAAAGTGCAGAAAAGGGGAAAAGGAGATGTTTGCTTTGGTTTTCCTGCCTAGATCAACTCGATAGTTCAATTTTACAGATCACCACCATCACCACACATCATCCCAGTAGAGAGAACAGAAAAGCAGCAATATGTCAAATAAATTAAAGTACATGCTAACAAAATCCACAAAGGGAATAAACCCACTCATGAATTACCTTTCCAGTAATACACGTTTTTCTGTTGCAAAAGCTGCAGGGCCTGTCACAGCCAGGCTGAGTAAACTCACCTCGTTTAAGCATTACCCATATTGCAAAATAGCTCCAAAACAAAATGGAACAAACACCATCAGCAATGCTGCTGATAAACAAGCCAACAGGTTACATATTATTTGTGTGTGGCTGTTGTGTAGGAGGAGTGGGAGAGAGTAATGCATTATTTACAGTAAATGTGATCAAAATGGAAGAACAACCAGACAAATAAAAGAGCATTTGATGAAAGAGAGCCTAAACAACACTCACTGACACCAATCTAAAACAAGAATAAAGCCTTCAAGAGTTTTTTGGCATGAAGAAATCAAACAGGACATTTCTGCCATCTCCCCCTACCTAGATATTCCTAGGATTGGTTCTCAGAGTAGCACCTGAACCAGCCATTACACTGTGTGTGTGCCTGCCCTTTGCTGAAAATGCAGCTTCATACACACAAATGCTGCCTAGAAAAAGCCACAAACACAGCAAGATCTGCCAGTTGGCTCCTCCCCCTGTTATTTCCTGATAAGTGCTGAAACTTCAATATAAGACAGCTTCTAACCAAAATTTTAAATCTGAAACTTGATTTTAGCCCAAAATAAAGAGTAGATAGTTTCCTCAGTTCTGTCTTGCCAAAATGAAACTGGTACCTGCCCTGTGTGATGCAAGAAGATTTAATGATGTATTCCTTAGGTTGATCTCAATATTAAGTAAAATTCTCCTTGATTAAGGTAAGAGTAGATTCTGAGCAGTGATCTTCACAATGAACTTAATTCCCAAATGCCCTTCCATGGAGCTGTGATATGCACAACTTGCTAAGTGTGGGCTGTGCTCCTCCATACTGGATGTATGAAAATGCTCCTCCTGACACACACATTTGTGTCAGTGGTGAGTGCAAAACACTGCTTTAAACTACAGGACCTTATTCAAAATCAATACAACACTTGTTTCTTGAACTGAAACTGAGGCAAAACCAATTTACAGGCGTATTTCTCCCTTTGCCAATCAGCAAATTTCTAAATAGCTTTGGACTGAAGATCTCAAGAAGATCTACAAGTCAGAAGATGATTCCCCAAAGAGCATAAATCCCTTCTACAACTAGAAATCAGTTGCACAAATGTCACCACAAAGCCACCACAATCGTGCTCAGCCCCAGGTGACACACATTTTACATTTGGGCTTAGCATGTCAGCCACTCCACACAGGCACCTGCACAAGCGAGTTTAAAGCACACAGCCTCGTTTGAAAGGCCACGAAACACGAGCTCAGTGCCAAAAATACCTCGACCACAATTCCAACATGCAAAAGAGTCACATAAGAAGTGACCAGAGGAAGTTGCAAATATCATCTCACCAAGTCATCAAAGTCACACACAGCCTACCCCAAAACACCCTCAGTACTTCTCTTCTTAAAACTGAGACTCCTCATTTTTAATACATTTTCAAGAAATCTTTTCTTCCTGGCAAATGGCCAGTTCAGCTAAAGGCAATTAGTGTACACAGGTCTGGGTACTTTGAGCACACTTACTGTACACAATTTCTGTCGAAGTAAATTGTTAATAGAACATAAATTAATTTTTAAAAAACAAAAAAAATGTTGATAAAATAAAGCCCTCAATAATTAATATCTTATCAATGCTATTTTCTCATTATCTGTGTCAACTTTAATTTTCTCAACAAATTATTTGGAGGTGGGCAAGATGGGAAGGAAGTATTTATTTAT